CAACGAGGGCACAGATTCGTGACAGAAAGTCATGACCCTTTCATGCCTAGCAGAGTAGAGGATAATGGATTTCTTGTGGTGAGAGGCACTGTGCCCAGTGGAATAGGTAGTGGTGTGCTGCCCTGCCATGCCATTTGTAATGCTCATTGTGGTTTCAGTGAGGGCAGCTGCTTTAGATTCTCTGTAAATGTGAGTACTGCTTCAAAGGGTAAAAGTGCAAGGATTTCTTCTCCAGTCCAGTGGAATAGGAGAGTGTAGGAACCAGTCAGCGTACAAACAGTTGGTTGATATAAAAACCATTGCATATGTGTGTAATAAAAAGTAGACTTAATATCCATCTTTTGTCAAAAGTCTGTACTGTTCTTTTCCTCCATTTGACTCAGTGCTGGTTTATATTTTCAGTACTTAATCTCTTTTTCAGTCAGATTTTTATCATATTTATGGGCACAGATTTTTTTAGTCCTTGGTTTGAAAACAGGTGAAAAGGCAAATTTAATCTGGTCATGAAATATTATTAGACATTTAGTTAAATTTTGTTGCATTTGTCAGTAAATTTATATTTTGTCTTTATCTGAAAAGTTTTGTGCAACTGTAGAATTGTAGAATAAAGGTGTGAGTTAAGAAACATTGATATAGTCTGGATTTTAGAATTTCAAAAGTGGTCCAGGAAGAATTAAAAATTACATCACAGGTTTTTCTGAGTTGGGAGGGATTCACAAGGACCATGGAGAGCAACTCCTAAGTGAACGAGTCACATGGGGACCAAACACACAACCTTGGTGTTATTGCTCCAACCAACCGAGGTCATCTCAGAGGTAAAAGTAATTTAAAATCTGGTATATGTATGCAGAATAATTCCTGTTACCATCCCAAACCTATGTGGTATATGCTTATTACAGAGCAAAATAAATTCCTTGCATAAGAATTCCTTCAATAAGGATGGTAATAATGTTTAGTATTTGATCATAGGTAGATTTTTCAAAACAAGAATTTTAATATTTCACCAAAGTCTAATTTCATATTCCCAGATCAGCTGAGTAACTAATTTTCAGCCTTCTCCAAGCTGAGTTTTGTGCAAGTTTTAACCTGCATGCATTTTTGATACATGTGGAAATTGACTTTCATTTCCTGCATGTCTAAAATAATTTCGTGTCTTGTTAGATTAATGCCATACATCATATTTACCTTAATAAGTTAAGAAAATGTCTTCAAAAATGTCTCCCTTAGAGCTAAAACTGGAATTGTGTCTTAAAGATTAATAAGCAGGCAACTTGTGTTACATAAGGTGGAAGTACAGGCTGGAAATAATGTTTAAAACAGCATAGTTATCCTTTATATGATATATTTTCATATGTTAATATTTTTTTTATTTCAAACCTGAACAATTGCCACTGAGACTAGCACATGATATCTATTTTTGGGTTTCTTCAAAAAATATTGAATTGGAACCCAATTAAAAACTCTCAATTAAAAATCTGTCACTTTTTATTATTTTCTGATCTGGCCTGCGTTTGTGTTAAATAACATGAATGACAGTGGCACAGACCAGGTAACTGATTTTCCCCAAATACTATATATACAGTATTTCTAAATAGTTTTGTTTCTTTGTTTGTTTTTTTCTCTAGTTGCAAATATGTGTATGTAAGCAAATGGTACCCTTTCAGCCTATTTCATGGTTCTTATGGGGAGCTGTAAAGGGAAATTCCTATTTTTTCAGTGAAAGACACCACAGGATGGAGACATGGAACTGAATGGAAGTTCACATTTTGAACATCTAATGTATGTTATTTTAGCAAAAGCAACAAGCTTGAAAGCATGAGCTCATATTAAATGCATGACAGGAGTGCACAGAAGATAGAGTTGTTGGTGAATTTCATCTTTTCATTAATTAATCATGGTTAAGAACCATAATCCTTGCCCCGTGAGCTAAAGTTTAAGCACAGCCTAGCTCCCTGTTGAAATGAAGAGCTGGTAATTTATGCTTTCAATTCACACCAATAAAGGCTCATAGATTCACTGTGTTTTGTTGAACCTTTGCCATAGTTCCAGTTCAGATCTGCAGTAGAGAAACTCCTACTGAAAGGTGTTCTGCCTGATTGTTGGTACAGGAGGTGACACCCCCATGCTTTCCTTACAGGTTCACCTGAATTCAGTCTGTAGGACTCACACTGCCTGGCCAGAAGAAACATGAGTAAACATTTTCAGCACCTCTTGTAATTCTCTACTCTCAAAAACCATAATCAGCATTTTGCAATTAGGCATGGGGTATACAGTGTTGAACATACTTAGGTGGAAGTACTGTTGGAATGCTTGGATGTGTTTAGGTTTGAGTTGTCTCTTTCTGTATCTTCACATCCTGATTTCCACTGCATGAATGGAAACAATTCAGGGAAACTAAGGTCACAAGGAAAATTTGCATCATTGCAAGGAACCTCCTTGGGTATTTTGATATTAGAGATTAAATTCTGGTAATTTAGATACTAACTGAGGAAAATATCTTTATTTGGGATGGGAATTAGGTGTTGAATCTCACCTTTATAACCATCTGCTTGTCTTTATCCACATGTGAGGAGCTTGCATGGTTACTGTACTGTTCTATTACTGAACTAGTTTGTGTTAATAACCTTGCCTAAAAGGTATCTGTCTGATGCTGTGCTCATATTTGCAGACTTGGTGGTGTTCATTTTACTGTGGTGATTTTCTGACATATGTTTTCTTGTCCACTGCATGCTTATGATGCTATCAGTGAGATAAATTTAACTTCCCTTGCAAAACTAGTGCACATGGGGGATGCTCTCCATCAGACCTGGATTTTATCTACAAGTTGAAAAGAATAAGAATATCACACTTAAAAGCACTGTTTGCCTTCTCAAAGGGCTGCAGGAAGCCTCTGTTGAAATTGTAAAGCTTTTCAAACAGCTTTTCAAAGGTTTTGTGTAAGAGAGGACTTTGTCCTCCTGTTTCCTTTATGTAAAAAGCAAGCTGTGTAAAACAGGGAAAAATACTTTAAAAGTTCTACTGCAATATATTTCTTTGCCTAGGAGGATGGAAGACTTTATGCTTTTTGTTTTGCCCCTTTATCTTTCACAATGTGTTCCCTGGTCCTTGGGCTGTGTCAGAGGGAGTGGTGACGCTGTTGAGATGCATCCTGCCAGTGCTGGGTCAGATGGTTAATAGTCTCAGATTGGGGAAACCATGCTGCCTGTTTCTCATACCTGCTTTGCATTTATATGAGCCATTGTTCTGTGTGGTTGAAAGAAGAGCCCCAGCTGAAAAATGCCTCACTTGCAAAGCATTCAAGCAGTTTTAAACAAGCATTTGGCTGGTTTTCAGACTGTTTCCTGCTGTAATCTCTGCCCTTCAGGGAAGGTAGAAGGTTCTCCTGTACAATTATAGCTGTCATTTTCCAGCAATCCAAGGATAACTATGGGGGGGAGAAATCTTTTCTACAGAATATATATAAAAGGAAATGTATATTGAAACAAATATATGTAGATGCTATTTTTTGCTTTGAACTTTCTGAAGGAATACCAATATAATTTGGAAAATATTACATGAAATTAGGATAATATGATGTATTTTCATACCGTGTTTCCTAAGGGATCCCTGCCAAATTATACTGTGCAATTACAGGTTTATTCATTCAAGAACTAAACTTTAGAATTGCTAATCTACCAGTCTCGATTAGAAATTCGTGGTATATTTTGTTTATTTTATGATTATATGTGACAAATATTTTGCAAGTACAGCTTGATTTCCAATTATTCACAACCCTGAACAGATGAAGGAGTCAAAGACTGTTAAAAGCCATGGAATGAAAAGCTTCTGGCAGGGAAAGAGATTTTTCTGAATATAAGATTTATCAGTGATAAAAAAAGATTCTGTGCCTTGCATTTAGAAGTTGAGAGCAGTTTATAGTGGTAAACACTTTAAGTCTAGGAACTGACTTAGGTCTAAACTGGGAGCATTTTATCTGTCACCTGGTTTGTTAACTAGCAATTGTGACATCAAAAAGGAATTCCCACCTTCCCCACTCTCCACCCCAGGATATAAGAAAGCAATGTATTGCTTTTCTGTGATCATCAGTTCAAAGTGTTTTTGTGATCAGCTAAGGTTTCTTAACCATCTGTGGACTGCAGTTGATTAATCTTGTCATGAACCTTACCCTACTGACTTGTAAAAAAATAAGTAGGAAATGGCTTTCAGTAACAGCAGTAAATGGCATTCTGATCTGGTTTGAGTACCTGTCAGATTATGTATCATCATAGGCAGTGGGGAAGGAAGGAAGGAAGGCCTTCCTTCAAAATTTGGTTCAAAGCACTTATATTTCTGTTTGAAATATACCTTGGAGAGATGATCTTTGGCAGAATTAACTAGTCTTCTAATCAAGCAACATCAGAACACTCTGATATCTTGCAGAAATGATTTCAAAACCAGAAAGGTTTAGGGGGACAGAAGTTATTGTGTAGAAGTTAGGCTTGCAGATTACTTGACAGGAACATCTCAGTCTTTGTGCCAAAACTGTGATTGAATTTGGGTTTTTTTCAATTTATCTTCATGTCACTAGTGATATATGCGTTTAATTAATTGGTGCAATGAGCAACAGTTTAGCTATTTTCAGCATACAGCGTATATATGAAATTTCCTGGAGTTGTCTCCAAGGAGAATGATTGGGCATGATTTTGAGATGTTGTGGGGGGTGAGGCTGAAAATCATGGGGAGGGATCATGTCTGTAGCAGATATAAGAATGACAACTTCAGCAGGACCATCTCAGATTTCCATAATTTTTATTTTTTAAAGTAAAAAAGGAAGTATGAGACTAAAGTTTGAGAATCATGTCAGTTTTCCTTTAAGTTTTTTCATTCTTTTCTGCAAGTGCATGCTCATGCTATCCCAGGAATTTGGGTGAGCCCTTTTACACAGACACCAGCACACAGGTGGAACTTTTTATCCTTTAACTGAGTCATGATGGGTTTCACCCTGTCTTTGCCTGTTGTAGATGCAGGCAGCTCTGCCTTCACAGCAGCAGCTTCCGAGGAGAGAAACAATCCTGTTTGCTTGGTATGGCAGGAGTGGCCTACTAACTCTGAAATTTCTCTGAGGTAAGAGAAGGGAGTGGTGGGCTGTGAGTACAGAGCTGTTATAACCACTAATCTCCTTAGGACAAACAGGTAAGAGTAAAGATAATGTACAGAGAGAGAACAATGCTTTGAGAATAGGGTTCCAGGATCACCTCCAAAATGCAGCTTTATGGTCAGTTTTTGCCTATGTTCGTTTGGTTCACAGAATTTAAATTCTATATCATGCTGGCTACTGTCTCTCCCTAAGGGTACAGTGGAAGAGCAGATAACTGACTTTAAATAATGTTACAGGGTGTTGAGGCAATTTCCTACAGCATTGTAGTATGGGCCTGGAATATTCACTGAAAAGCTGTTTTGCATTATCAGAATATCTATATGCTTGCATAATGCAAATTTTAAAAAGAATTAGCCTTAGTTCCATGCAGACTGTTATAAAATAGTATGGCTCTGAGTTATTTGGAGGCAACTTCAAATAAGTTTAACATATTTGTAAAGTATGTGTTCCATGTATTTTAAACCTTATTTGATCATTTACTGTGTGATCTTTTCCATTTGTCACCTTCTTCCCCTGCTTTCTAGGAAGCTGTTGAATTTATGACAAAAGTATTAATTGGTGGTAAGCCAAAGGTTGAGTTTATATTCTAATAACTTCATTTGGTCTACATTTGAAAGGAGTAATACTATGTTCTCAGGCTCTAGGAGGTCAAGAATTCCTTTCTTCTCAAATAAGGTTTGGACAATGAATACTGTGAAGAATGGTAGAATCCTGATAATAATCCAGATGTTCTTTAATATTTTATCAAACTCATACTTTTTTCATCTCTGTTTTGGCCTAGGAAGAAATATTTTATTTTAGACTTCATTATATGAATATTGGGGAAGCAAAGAATTGGATATGATGTTTCATTTAGAGAATGTTTGTGTAGAGCACTTCAAAGGAATATAATGTGTTGGCTGGGTACTCCCTTTGGGAGAGGAAGCTGTTGGCAAGTACTTTTCCTCAGGGATCCATTTTGTGATTGGTGTTCTAGAGAATCACATCATAACTTTGCATGAAGTGACACTCTGCATATTTTCAGGCCACCTAGCAAAGTGCTATGTCATGTATTACTTCTGATTTTTGAACTGCAAGGTGTGTTGGACTTTCTATTTGGGAGCACTTTTTTGTTTATTTATTTTATGTATATATATATTTATTTAATATTTGGTAGAGCAGCTTGTAACACGTACACGTTCACTGTCTTTTCCTACTTGTAACACAGTAGGATTGTGCTACAATCTACAACTTGGTCTTTTTTCCTCCTAATTTCTCTTTTGTGTCATCTTTTCTATCACTTTTTTCTTTCCCACTGCTCTTAATCCTTGTAGAAATCTTTGTTTCCAGTTCTCTCTCAGAGCCTGGACCAGGAGCACTGAAGATGATGGAGATGTTTTCACTGAATTCAGTGAGCACAATTCAGAACTGAAGCCATGACTGTACAAAGGCAGCACCATGGGACAATATCCAGTTCATGGCATCTCCTCCCTGAAACCCAAATCTTGTGAGGTACTGTTTTGTAGGCAGTTATTAGTAGTCCCTCTTGGTGTTTTGCAACTGCAAGGGAATAACAGATTCTGTGCCTTTTTAAAATTGCTCTCAGGCTCCTGGTACCTAATCTCTATTACACCTGCATGAAGACAGGCAGTTGACAAAGAATCCTGCACCTATAAACAAAATTTCAAACAAAACACTAAAGCTGGTGTCAAAGTTTATTTTTTTTGTAATATTTCTAAGTGGTAAGAGGTTAAGTGCCATTGAAAAATGTTGTAAATTTCAGAATGCAGTCATGTTGGATTTGTAGCTAGTGGGAATCAATGAAGTTCCACTGATTTAACTACGGATAGATTATTTTCATCCACTGAAGTTTTGTGATAAGATCAGCAGTCATATAACAGGTTCTGAGTGCTTGGTTTGCACAGAAGAAAACCAATCAGCTTCATCCTCTGTTCAGCTAGAGTTTTGATACTATAAATCATCAACTGGTTTAAAAATAGAGTAATAAATACAGTACTTTTTTATACAAAATGCAGTAATTTAAAGGTAATTAGTAACTTTTAAAACAGTTAATAAGTCTAATTCCCGAGATGTCCTGAAATTATTAGCTTTTATAAAAACAGAAAAAAAACCCCCTTAAACAACCCCTCTACCATAATGACCATAGTTTTATTGCTGTTAGATTTCTGTGATTTCATAGATTTGTTGAATATCAATTGTTGGAGTTTTTATTATGGAATTCCTCTGTTGTCACTTCCTTTCTTTTTTTACTCTGTGTTATTTTTTTCCTCTTCTGTGAAGGAGGAAATAAAAGAACCATAATGTTTGAGGCAATTAAGTGAGCCACCTACAGCTACTATAGACAATGTTCAGAAGTTAGTCACAAAATGAGAGGGAACTTGCAAAAATAATGGAGGTTAAATCTCCCTGAGTATCAGAAAAGAGCTGGGTGAGGTCACAGATCACAGATATATAGGACAAAGCTGTGTTTAATTCAGAAAGAAAAAAATAAAAAAGGTTTGTTGAAATCTGTTTGAGTCCAAATCTGGAAAACTATTTTTACCATTTATCTTTCACTGTGTTTCTCCTATATGCCTTTCCCCTTGTACCATGCTAGTCTGGAAACCCAGAATGTACTTGAAATGCCTTCCTTTACTGTCTAAAATGATAGCTTTTATTTCAGGACTTGGCTTATTATTTGATCCTTTAACCCCCTAAGGCCAGTATTAGCAGTTGGTGTCAGGAAATCCCAATTCCCAGTGCCGAGGGGTTAATTGCTTTTTCCCGTTTGATCTTTTCCTGCCCACTTTTTATTCTACCTGACCCTTTTACCAGCTATAGGAGGTACACATCCTTTTCTTTGTTGGCCTACTTCCTCTGTCTCCCCATAGTTTTCCTCACTGCTGCCTTGCCAATTTCACATTACATATTTCTCAACGAAAAAATTGAAGTTGACCTGAATTTTTCCTTCTTATGCTATCCAATTTTCCTGGCAGAAAAGGTGCAGCGTGCTGTTATTGTATTTCTAGGAACTGAGATAGGATGGGCACGTGATAAATTACAAAGAAAAAAAAATTGAATATATGTATAGACATATGAAATTGGACTGCTGATGTGTTAAATTTGGAGAGCTTTGTTGGATAAAAATAATTTGTATATCATTTTAAACAAAAAAGATAAAGTATGGGGGATGGGGAGGAAGAAACCTTTAAAACTAAATAAAGGCATCTCAGATTTTATTGCTACACTAAGTAATCTTATAATCAAGCAAAACACAATCAAATTTGTCAGAAATATTTCTCATGTCAAGGTTAACCCTACATTCATTGAAAGCTTTGTTTTGTTACCAGGTTACAAGCATAATACATTAATTTCTTTAGGGCTTCTTGTTTTAAAATAGTAATTTTATTTATGTTTTCTTTATATTCCACAAAGTCAGCAGTGAAGCTGATATTATGCGATAGCAGTTTTTGAAATCTTTGCAGTTATCAGCAACTGATTTTTTTTGTTACATGTATTAATTTCCTTTAGAAAGTGAGAATATATTCAAGATATCAGAGAAAATTTTAAAAAACCTATTGCCGTAGATTTTACTGACTATAATTCTGAGAAATACTTATCTTCTGTATTTTTACTGTCTCTGAAAATGTAATGTGCCTCTCCAACTTTCAGGTTTTTTAAATAGCTATATCACTAGTAAGGTAAGCCAACATAAATAGAGAGAAAAATTAAATAGAGTATCCATATCAGCTGGTCAATGCCAGGTCTTTAGTATGGAAAAAAAAGAAAACTGTTTAGATGGGGAAAAATACTCCTATCAGCACTAAAAGTTACATTCCAGTGTAATTGTATCTCGTGATAAAATTGTGTCAATCTTCTATTTTTCCTCCAGCTTGTAATTTTAGTCAATATTTTCCATGATGTTTATCTGGTCTGACAAAATGAGAGCTCACACATCAAGATTTTCCCACTAGCAGGGTGCTTAGGCCTAGTCACCAGTCTTTTAGGCTTCCTGTTTTTCACAGCAGAAGTAGGTACTTGATTCTTTTAAAAACCTGAGTTATATTCAGCTTTGATAAAAATGTGTTGCCAAGCTAGTAAATGACTTTTTTAAAATGGAAGTCAAAGGCAGAGAAAGAAGCATGTGTAAACCCATTGCAGTCATGTGAAATTTATTGACTTCAGAAAATAGATTAAAATTGAGAGTGAAGTTTTAGCTTTTATGGATCCTGATGTGTTTAAAAGCTTAGCTGGATTGTGCTCATTCTTTGAAAGATATTCAGTAAGACCCTGCAGGTGTTTCAACATGTAACTTGAAGCAAAGTTTACATCCTCTTGAATTTTAGTAAGAAGATAAAAAACTGCAAAGGTAATTTGAAAATCCACACAGGAGTTACAAATTTCACCCACCTTTTTGGCTGGTGAATTTTATCTATGTGGAGATGTTTTTCCCTGAAAATGCAAAGAAAAGTACAACCATTAAAACAAATATGAGGAAAACAGAAATGTTTCACATCTTGATCCAATATTTCATATCTTTCATGTTGACTTAGTTCAGCAAAATTCTTTATATAATTTCTTTTTTAATGAGCAGACTTAAGACTGCATTTTACAGAAATGATCGTAAACTGGTCTGAAGTGTTGCAACAAAAGTTATAGTGAAGAGTTATTTTGGAGTGACAAAGCCAAAACATAGAAAGTACAGTAGTGAGTGAATTTGCCAGAAATGCCCAGGCTGTTTTTGCTGAGTGCCCAGGTTGTTTTTCCAGTGGCTTGGAGATTTACCTTTTAAGAAAGGGTTATCAGAGGTGGGTCTCCATGACAGTGGGTTGCTGACTCATAGCTAGACCACAGCTGCAAGTGGTGCACTATCATCTGAATAAGTGACAACAATTCTGAGCCACTGAATGATCTAGTTTGCTCATCTCTTTAGCCTTCCTTGGAGTAAACAATAAAGA